GATTACAAGGCCAGGAGGGCAGCAGCCTCACCAGCACAGGCCCCACTGCACACTACCTGAGCAAGGAAAAGGCAGACACTGCTGCGGCCCTGACTCCATCTCAACCGGCAAGTTCCTGGCGCTGAAGCAGGACAGACATCACGCACGGCAGTCACCCCACAGGTCAGGAGCAGAGCCCAGGGTGGGAGCCCTGCTCAACAGTGCCCAGCGGTTGCTGACCAGGGCCATAACAACCAGACAGAACCAAGAAGTGCCTGGGAATCACTGGGAAACTTGGGTCCCAGATGCAAGGGGGATCCTGCTCAGGCATAAGCAAACCTGCAAAAGCACAGGAGGCTTCCACTCCTGCCCCCAGACTGAAGGAAGGCTGAAAGGCTCAGGACGGAGCTTAAACAGAGCCCTGGGTCAAAAGGAAGACGGAGGTGGGGGGGAATCCCAGGTGAGGCTCATCAGGGCCATTGGGCCTGTAGTTCCGGCACTCAGGCCCCTGATAGGGTGTCTCCTGGGCACCTGGCACACAGGACACCAGCTCCATCTATCACCACGAGGCAGGGAAAGGACTTCTTCCTTCAAGAAAGGAAGATCACATTCCTTTTATTAGGACTAAGCTGTCTTTTCTTCCAAGGTTCCTTTCAATCACCTCCCTGCCCAGAATATCTGCAGGACGGTCCCGTGCAAGACCTCAATGCTCCCACAGAAAAATGCATATGGCAGTGCCCTGTCGCACCCAGCTCTCTCCATCCCGTGCCGCAGATGCTGCCTTCCCTCCCTGGTGCGCCCTTTTCACTCCACTGTGCTTGTTTGTCAGCTCAGCATGGCTCGTGAGGGTTGGTGGAGACAACATTTGTGAGGGCCCTCCAGCAGAGCAGGGCACAGGGGGGTTGCTGACAGCAGCTGCCTTGAAGGGAGACAGGCCTATAGCCATGGGGAGAGGCACCTTAGGGCTTCCCACAGCATGTGGGGCAGCAGAAATGGTGCCCCTCACTCGATGTGAAGCAGGACCTTGGGGATATGGGGGAAAACATCCCCTGTGGAGGACTAGAGCATGTGGGAAGAAGGGACAGGAAGCTTTTCCTCCCTTGAATTCCCTGTGGCAGGAGCAACCAGCACATCCCACTGGACTTTACCACACAAACTACATCCCAGCTCCATACACAAGCAAAGTTGTTTCCCTCTCTAATATTGGTGGCCTGGTCTTTCAGGGTGGAAATACCAGAATGCGCAGTTGCTGCATCCTGGAGGGTTTCTTTCTGTCATTCCTCTGGTGAGCAAACAACAAAGAGGGACTGGATAAATGCCCTCACTTCAGGAACATGGGCCACAGGCCATGCAAACTTCAAGCGGTCACTTTGCAGCTCTGCAAACTATTGATGAGTATTTGAGAAAGGGGCCTGGGGCTTATGAAGACATGACCTGGATATCTCTCCTTGGCATCCGTCACACATCATACATGCCTTGAAAGCAAAGAATTTCTCACAGGGCCTTGCTGAGACACAGAAAAATTATACTGCGCAGGACAAATGGACGTGGGTGACTTTGGGAGAGTATATCACGTGTAAAACACAGTCCCCTCCAGCTGACAATTTCACTGGGACTCCCCAACTCCAAATACACTATGAAAAATATGAGTCCAGCACATCCCTTCAGCAATCCCTTTCTCCCAGAACAGCATCCAAATTTTCCCCTCGAGAGCTTGGTTGGGCATCCCAGGAGGGAAGGAACAAGAGGAGACATCAAGGTACAATGCAGCATAAACTTTAATGAGTTGAAAGAGAGAAAGCAAGCAGTGCATGCTGGCAGGGACCCGGTCCAGGCTGCTACAAGGGCACCCGACACTCAGGCAGCCCTTCTCAGCTATGGGACACGCGTCTTCCTCCCACACACAGACGGGGAGACGGGGATGAGCAGGGCCCCTCTCTGCTTCCCTCAGGATGAACCCAAGGCACAGGACAGCAGGAGACACAGGGACTCATGATGCAGACAAGAAAGCAGGAGAAGCAGAAGACCTCAGCTGGCCGTGTTTCCAGACCGCACGGGCTGGCACCTGGCTTCCCTCCCTGCTTTGCTAGGAGGGCACGAGGGGGCTCAGTGCCTCTGGAAACTCTGGCCAGCAGCTCCGTCCTCAGTCCGGCACCTGGCTTTGGGCTTGCTGGTCGACGCGCTCACTGGACGTCCAGGCCGGCCTCTAGCAGGGCAGGCACCTCCTGCCACAGAAGCGGCCACCAAGGCCAGAGAGGCCAAAGCCCCCGGAGTTGATGGGCACACCATCCTCACTCAGGATGCTGCCAACAGGCAGCCGAGGTGGTGGATCCCACGGCGGTGTTCTGGGGGAAGGAGCTGAGGATGGGGCCGGGCAGGGTCACCACCACGGGAGAGGGCTGGATCACCACGCGGGAGTCCTGGCACTGCCTGACGCAGGGCTCGTTGCAGCTGTTGGCAAGCGGGGTTGGGCCACAGGGACGGCACAGATCGTAGCAGGACATGGCTGCGGGACGGACGGACACCTGGGAGAGAGGGCACGGAAAGCACAGGCAGCACGTGAGAGGCAGCCTGACAGCCGGCTCGGCAAGAGAAAAGGCACCGGCTGGGAAGCGGGGACAGACCCAGTTGGGAAGAAGGGAGATGAATGAAACCTGGTCCCCACATTGTCCCTGAAAATACAGCCTAAGCTCTTATCCCCCCTCCCAGAGAGGTGGCAGGGAACCAAGAGTTGGAAATACAAACTGTGTTTGTAAAATCTATCCTGAGTCCAGAAGAGAAAGAGTTGATGAGAAAGAGTGAGGGAAATGTAGTTGCAGCTCACCTTGTTCAGCAAGGAGGAGAAGGCAAGAGAAGTGGATGAGGGAGCCTGCTCTCAGACTGGCTTTTATACTGGTCCAGACCGCCCCAGGCCCTGAGGCTCCCTTTGCGCATGTCATGTGTTTACCAACAAGCTCATCTTACATGCAAAGAAGCACAATTAATGAAATGAGCATTATGCTTCTGTTCCCTGCAACGCTGCCTTTTCATTTCCCTCTTCATGACATGCTCCTTCAGCCACAAAGGCTCCTTTCAAGCGACACTATTAGAGGCCAAAACGTGTCCAGGGGAAAAGACACGTCAGCACAGGCAGATGATGCAGCTGGTGATGAAGAACGTCCCACCTCTCCAGGTGATGCCATGCCCTTGCCCTCCAGGGCCTCACTCTGCAGTGTTTCCTCATGATTGAGGCAGCTCTGCTCCTAACCCTGAGGCTTCAGCCTGGATGGACATCCTCATGCAGGGGTCGGCACCATCAGTCGCTCTCTCTCATGCTCTGCTCACTCACGCTCTATTAGCATCACCTTTCTAGGCAGGGCACCTCTGCTTTTGCCTTCTAAACTCTCTCTCTGAGACTGAGCTTTGATCTCGGCAGAAGTTTGCCTGCCTCTTTTGTCATCTTCTTTCTCTCCTTCATCCCTACGTGCCTAAGCTGCAGACTACCGGTGGTTAAGAAGGAAGGCTATTCCGCTCCCAATTCCCTCCGCTGGAGACCTCTGGCTACGTTGGAGGCACCCCAGCGACAAAGGCACATGCTGACCAATCGATACACGTCCTTCTTCCTGCCTGCCTGTGACTTGACCACAACTTCTGCTTTGTGCTTTGGCTCCCCAGACTGCTGGCACACCAGGCACGACCAAATACTTGGCAGGGCTCCCACAGGATCCCCAGCCCTGCTCAGCAGCAAGCAGGGTCCACGAGTCTTTGCAAGGACAGTCGGAGGAGCACGGCACAAGAGGTGCCTCCTACTCTGCCCGAAGTACGACCAGAGCAGCAGGCCCAAATCACTGCCTGTGGAGGACAAGGGCATGCGAAGGAGGGACTGAGAGCAGAGCGGCTGGGCTGCCACTCCCTCACACTCGCCAGCTGGAGGCCTGGTTGGAGGGACAAAAGGACCACTGCTTGGGCCCTGCCCAGGCACAGCAGCTGAATGGGGCTTCTGCAGGAATTGCAGCACATCTGCTCCAGACTCATTTCCCTTTCAGGACACGGTGGCATATGCAGAAGGACTCTGACACGGAACTTAATGCTTTTGGTTACACGTCTGCTCCGTTGGAGGCAAAGATGCCTTTTTTGCTCCCTTCTAGTCCCCTACAGAGTTTCCAGGACATATCACATACGAGCATAGTGACGTCCCACACTGATGTCAGTAACCATGCTGTTGAGGGCAGAAAGGCAGGAATACCACTGGCTGCATCCTGGAGGGTTTCTTTCTTTCCTTTCTCTGGCGAGCAGACAACAAAGAGGGACTGGCTAAATGCCCTCACTTCAGTGTCACGGGCTGCAGACCAAGCAAACGTAAAGAAGTCAGTCTGCAGCACTGCCAGACGTGATGAATACTTCAGAAATGTGCCTGGACATTTCTCCTTGGCATCTTTCATACATCATGCGTGCCTTGAAACAAAAGAAGGCAACAGAGAGCTGTGCTGAGAGAACAATTCTGTTGTTCAGGGAAAATGGATGTGGGTGACTTTAAGAAAAGTATAAGACATGTAAAACATAGTACCCTCCAGCTGGCAATTTCAGTGGGACTCCACTCCTCCAAATCCCCCATGTAAAACACAAGGGCAGGACATTCCTTCAGGAATTACTTTATCGCCCTAGAGCATTCAATTTTTCACCTAGAGAGCTTGGTTGGGCATCCCAGCAGGGAAGGAACACGAGGAGACATCAAGGTACAATGCAGCATAAACTTTAATGAGTTCGAAAGAGAGAAAGCAAGCAGTGCATGCTGGCAGGGACCCGGTCCAGGCTGCTACAAGGGCACCCGACACTCAGGCAGCCCTTCTCAGCTATGGGACACGCGTCTTCCTCCCACACACAGACGGGGAGACGGGGATGAGCAGGGCCCCTCTCTGCTTCCCTCAGGATGAACCCAAGGCACAGGACAGCAGGAGACACAGGGACTCATGATGCAGACAAGAAAGCAGGAGAAGCAGAAGACCTCAGCTGGCCGTGTTTCCAGACCGCACGGGCTGGCACCTGGCTTCCCTCCCTGCTTTGCTGGAGGGCACGAGGGGGCTCAGTGCCTCTGGAAACTCTGGCCAGCAGCTCCGTCCTCAGTCCGGCACCTGGCTTTGGGCTTGCTGGTCGACGCGCTCGCTGGACGTCCAGGCCGGCTCTAGCAGGGCAGGCACCTCCTGCCACAGAAGCGGCCACCAAGGCCAGAGAGGCCAAAGCCCCCGGAGTTGATGGGCACACCATCCTCACTCAGGATGCTGCCAACGGCAGCCGAGGTGGTGGATCCCACGGCGGTGTTCTGGGGGAAGGAGCTGAGGATGGGGCCGGGCAGGGTCACCACCACGGGAGAGGGCTGGATCACCACGCGGGAGTCCTGGCACTGCCTGACGCAGGGCTCGTTGCAGCTGTTGGCAAGCGGGGTTGGGCCACAGGGACGGCACAGATCGTAGCAGGACATGGCTGCGGGACGGACGGACACCTGGGAGAGAGGGCACGGAAAGCACAGGCAGCACGTGAGAGGCAGCCTGACAGCCGGCTCGGCAAGAGAAAAGGCACCGGCTGGGAAACGGGGACAGACCCAGTTGGGAAGAAGGGAGATGAATGAAACCTGGTCCCCACATTGTCCCTGAAAATATACAGCCTAAGCTCTTATCCCCCCTCCCAGAGAGGTGGCAGGGAACAAAGATTCGGAACACAATCAACCTGTCTCAGGAAATCTGTTCTCAGACCCAAAGGCATAGAAGAGAAGAAGGAAAAATGTGGAGAAAAGGAAGTTGCAGCTCACCTTGTTCAACAAGGAGGAGAAGGCAAGAGAAGTGGATGAGGGAGCATCCTCTTGGACTGGCTTTTATACTGGTCCAGGACCGCCCAAGGCCCTGAGGCTCCATTTACGCATGTCACTGTGTTTACCAACAAGCTCATCTTACAGGCAAAGAAGCACAATTAAAGAAATGGGTACTATGCCTATGTTTCCCGCAACGCTGCCTTTTCATTTCCTGTGAATGACATGCCCATTGAGACATACAAGCTCCTTTCAAGTGACAGTATTAAAGGTAAATATTTCCGGGGAAATGACACAGAAGTGGAGGAAGAAGATGAAGGCAAAGAGAAGGTGATGGCCAATGTGCTCAGGCGATGACATGCCTCTCACAGCTACCGGGGCTTATTTTGATTTTTTGGTCCTAAAATAGGTGACCTCATTTACTTACAAATCTCTCATTGAAGCCAGACTTCCAGCAAGGATCCTAGGTGAGCACCAGCCACATCTTCAGCTTTATCTATCAACAAAATGGGATGTGTCACCCTCCAAACAAAGGCACACGCTTCAAACCAAATACATCTGATTTCCTCCTCCCCACGGTCCATGCCTCTACTTCAGTTTTGGCTCAACATACTGACAGGACAGCACACACGTTGCCAAACACTCAGCAAGATTTCCATGCAACATAGAACATACTGTAGAAGCAAGCAATGGCTGGCGGTGGCAGCAAGCACAGTCAGGAGAGCAGCAGATGTCAGGCTCTCCCCAGGGATGCATGCCAAGGGAAGGACTCAGTGCTCTGCACTGGATCTCCCGGGGCAGAAGCAGAGCTGCATGTCCCCAGGAGGCATGACAGCCCTGCTTGGGGCACCAGCCACATTCCTCTGACAACCCAGCCGGGTCCTCCTTGCAAAGGGTGGACAAAGCATCTTCCCAATTAAGTTGGGACTCCACCAGGGATAGGCAACTCTCTAATCACAGAGGCCCGGGCCAAATTCCTCACTTCAGAGGGTGACGAGAGCCTAGAGGCCACACTGTGTTCACCCGATGATGACGGTAAAAGTCCATCCAAACAGAAATGCTGTCAGGGCTCAGTGAGAGCCAGCTGCTCCTGGCAGGACAAGAGCCAGGAGAGGAGCACGATTACAAGGCCAGGAGGGCAGCAGCCTCACCAGCACAGGCCCCACTGCACACTACCTGAGCAAGGAAAAGGCAGACACTGCTGCGGCCCTGACTCCATCTCAACCGGCAAGTTCCTGGCGCTGAAGCAGGACAGACATCACGCACGGCAGTCACCCCACAGGTCAGGAGCAGAGCCCAGGGTGGGAGCCCTGCTCAACAGAGCCCAGCGGTTGCTGACCAGGGCCATAACAACCAGACAGAACCAAGAAGTGGCTGGGAATCACTGGGAAACTTGGGGCCCAGATGCAAGGGGGCTCCTGCTCAGGCATAAGCAAACCTGCAAAAGCACAGGAGGCTTCCACTCCTGCCCCCAGACTGAAGGAAGGCTGAAAGGCTCAGGACGGAGCTTAAACAGAGCCCTGGGTCAAAAGGAAGACGGAGGTGGGAGGGAATCCCAGGTGAGGCTCATCAGGGCCATTGGGCCTGTAGTTCCGGCACTCAGGCCCCTGATAGGGTGTCTCCTGGGCACCTGGCACACAGGACACCAGCTCCATCTATCACCACGAGGCAGGGAAAGGACTTCTTCCTTCAAGAAAGGAAGATCACATTCCTTTTATTAGGACTAAGCTGTCTTTTCTTCCAAGGTTCCTTTCAATCACCTCCCTGCCCAGAATATCTGCAGGACGGTCCCGTGCAAGACCTCAATGCTCCCACAGAAAAATGCATATGGCAGTGCCCTGTCGCACCCAGCTCTCTCCATCCCGTGCCGCAGATGCTGCCTTCCCTCCCTGGTGCGCCCTTTTCACTCCACTGTGCTTGTTTGTCAGCTCAGCATGGCTCGTGAGGGTTGGTGGAGACAACATTTGTGAGGGCCCTCCAGCAGAGCAGGGCACAGGGGGGTTGCTGACAGCAGCTGCCTTGAAGGGAGACAGGCCTATAGCCATGGGGAGAGGCACCTTAGGGCTTCCCACAGCATGTGGGGCAGCAGAAATGGTGCCCCTCACTCGATGTGAAGCAGGACCTTGGGGATATGGGGGAAAACATCCCCTGTGGAGGACTAGAGCATGTGGGAAGAAGGGACAGGAAGCTTTTCCTCCCTTAAATTCCCTGTGGCAGGAGCAACCAGCACATCCCACTGGACTTTACCACACAAACTACATCCCAGCTCCATACACAAGCAAAGTTGTTTCCCTCTCTAATATTGGTGGCCTGGTCTTTCAGGGTGGAAATACCAGAATGCGCAGTTGCTGCATCCTGGAGGGTTTCTTTCTGTCATTCCTCTGGTGAGCAAACAACAAAGAGGGACTGGATAAATGCCCTCACTTCAGGAACATGGGCCACAGGCCATGCAAACTTCAAGCGGTCACTTTGCAGCTCTGCAAACATTGATGAGTATTTGAGAAAGGGGCCTGGGGCTTATGAAGACATGACCTGGATATCTCTCCTTGGCATCCGTCACACATCATACATGCCTTGAAAGCAAAGAATTTCTCACAGGGCCTTGCTGAGACACAGAAAAATTATACTGCGCAGGACAAATGGACGTGGGTGACTTTGGGAAGAGTATATCACGTGTAAAACACAGTCCCCTCCAGCTGACAATTTCACTGGGACTCCCCAACTCCAAATACACTATGAAAAATATGAGTCCAGCACATCCCTTCAGCAATCCCTTTCTCCCAGAACAGCATCCAAATTTTCCCCTCGAGAGCTTGGTTGGGCATCCCAGGAGGGAAGGAACAAGAGGAGACATCAAGGTACAATGCAGCATAAACTTTAATGAGTTGAAAGAGAGAAAGCAAGCAGTGCATGCTGGCAGGGACCCGGTCCAGGCTGCTACAAGGGCACCCGACACTCAGGCAGCCCTTCTCAGCTACTGGGACACGCGTCTTCCTCCCACACACAGACGGGGAGACGGGGATGAGCAGGGCCCCTCTCTGCTTCCCTCAGGATGAACCCAAGGCACAGGACAGCAGGAGACACAGGGACTCATGATGCAGACAAGAAAGCAGGAGAAGCAGAAGACCTCAGCTGGCCGTGTTTCCAGACCGCACGGGCTGGCACCTGGCTTCCCTCCCTGCTTTGCTGGAGGGCACGAGGGGGCTCAGTGCCTCTGGAAACTCTGGCCAGCAGCTCCGTCCTCAGTCCGGCACCTGGCTTTGGGCTTGCTGGTCGACGCGCTCGCTGGACGTCCAGGTCGGCTCTAGCAGGGCAGGCACCTCCTGCCACAGAAGCGGCCACCAAGGCCAGAGAGGCCAAAGCCCCCGGAGTTGATGGGCACACCATCCTGCACTCAGGATGCTGCCAACAGGCAGCCGAGGTGGTGGATCCCACGGCGGTGTTCTGGGGGAAGGAGCTGAGGATGGGGCCGGGCAGGGTCACCACCACAGGGAGAGGGCTGGAATCACCACGCGGGAGTCCTGGCACTGCCTGACGCAGGGCTCGTTGCAGCTGTTGGCAAGCGGGGTTGGGCCACAGGGACGGCACAGATCGTAGCAGGACATGGCTGCGGGACGGACGGACACCTGGGAGAGAGGGCACGGAAAGCACAGGCAGCACGTGAGAGGCAGCCTGACAGCCGGCTCGGCAAGAGAAAAGGCACCGGCTGGGAAGCGGGGACAGACCCAGTTGGGAAGAAGGGAGATGAATGAAACCTGGTCCCCACATTGTCCCTGAAAATACAGCCTAAGCTCTTATCCTCCCTCCCAGAGAGGTGGCAGGGAACCAAGACTTGGAAATACAAACTGTGTTTGTAAAATCTATCCTGAGTCCAGAAGAGAAAGAGTTGATGAGAAAGAGTGAGGGAAATGTAGTTGCAGCTCACCTTGTTCAGCAAGGAGGAGAAGGCAAGAGAAGTGGATGAGGGAGCCTGCTCTCAGACTGGCTTTTATACTGGTCCAGACCGCCCCAGGCCCTGAGGCTCCCTTTGCGCATGTCATGTGTTTACCAACAAGCTCATCTTACATGCAAAGAAGCACAATTAATGAAATGAGCATTATGCTTCTGTTCCCTGCAACGCTGCCTTTTCATTTCCCTCTTCATGACATGCTCCTTCAGCCACACAGGCTCCTTTCAAGCGACACTATTAGAGGCCAAAACGTGTCCAGGGGAAAAGACACGTCAGCACAGGCAGATGATGCAGCTGGTGATGAAGAACGTCCCACCTCTCCAGGTGATGCCATGCCCTTGCCCTCCAGGGCCTCACTCTGCAGTGTTTCCTCATGACTGAGGCAGCTCTGCTCCTAACCCTGAGGCTTCAGCCTGGATGGACATCCTCATGCAGGGGTCGGCACCATCAGTCGCTCTCTCTCATGCTCTGCTCACTCACGCTCTATTAGCATCACCTTTCTAGGCAGGGCACCTCTGCTTTTGCCTTCTAAACTCTCTCTCTGAGACTGAGCTTTGATCTCGGCAGAAGTTTGCCTGCCTCTTTTGTCATCTTCTTTCTCTCCTTCATCCCTACGTGCCTAAGCTGCAGACTACCGGTGGTTAAGAAGGAAGGCTATTCCGCTCCCAATTCCCTCCGCTGGAGACCTCTGGCTACGTTGGAGGCACCCCAGCGACAAAGGCACATGCTGACCAATCGATACACGTCCTTCTTCCTGCCTGCCTGTGACTTGACCACAACTTCTGCTTTGTGCTTTGGCTCCCCAGACTGCTGGCACACCAGGCACGACCAAATACTTGGCAGGGCTCCCACAGGATCCCCAGCCCTGCTCAGCAGCAAGCAGGGTCCACGAGTCTTTGCAAGGACAGTCGGAGGAGCACGGCACAAGAGGTGCCTCCTACTCTGCCCGAAGTACGACCAGAGCAGCAGGCCCAAATCACTGCCTGTGGAGGACAAGGGCATGCGAAGGAGGGACTGAGAGCAGAGCGGCTGGGCTGCCACTCCCTCACACTCGCCAGCTGGAGGCCTGGTTGGAGGGACAAAAGGACCACTGCTTGGGCCCTGCCCAGGCACAGCAGCTGAATGGGGCTTCTGCAGGAATTGCAGCACATCTGCTCCAGACTCATTTCCCTTTCAGGACACGGTGGCATATGCAGAAGGACTCTGACACGGAACTTAATGCTTTTGGTTACACGTCTGCTCCGTTGGAGGCAAAGATGCCTTTTTTGCTCCCTTCTAGTCCCCTACAGAGTTTCCAGGACATATCACATACGAGCATAGTGACGTCCCACACTGATGTCAGTAACCATGCTGTTGAGGGCAGAAAGGCAGGAATACCACTGGCTGCATCCTGGAGGGTTTCTTTCTTTCCTTTCTCTGGCGAGCAGACAACAAAGAGGGACTGGCTAAATGCCCTCACTTCAGTGTCACGGGCTGCAGACCAAGCAAACGTAAAGAAGTCAGTCTGCAGCACTGCCAGACGTGATGAATACTTCAGAAATGTGCCTGGACATTTCTCCTTGGCATCTTTCATACATCATGCGTGCCTTGAAACAAAAGAAGGCAACAGAGAGCTGTGCTGAGAGAACAATTCTGTTGTTCAGGGAAAATGGATGTGGGTGACTTTAAGAAAAGTATAAGACATGTAAAACATAGTACCCTCCAGCTGGCAATTTCAGTGGGACTCCACTCCTCCAAATCCCCCATGTAAAACACAAGGGCAGGACATTCCTTCAGGAATTACTTTATCGCCCTAGAGCATTCAATTTTTCACCTAGAGAGCTTGGTTGGGCATCCCAGCAGGGAAGGAACACGAGGAGACATCAAGGTACAATGCAGCATAAACTTTAATGAGTCGAAAGAGAGAAAGCAAGCAGTGCATGCTGGCAGGGACCCGGTCCAGGCTGCTACAAGGGCACCCGACACTCAGGCAGCCCTTCTCAGCTATGGGACACGCGTCTTCCTCCCACACACAGACGGGGAGACGGGGATGAGCAGGGCCCCTCTCTGCTTCCCTCAGGATGAACCCAAGGCACAGGACAGCAGGAGACACAGGGACTCATGATGCAGACAAGAAAGCAGGAGAAGCAGAAGACCTCAGCTGGCCGTGTTTCCAGACCGCACGGGCTGGCACCTGGCTTCCCTCCCTGCTTTGCTGGAGGGCACGAGGGGGCTCAGTGCCTCTGGAAACTCTGGCCAGCAGCTCCGTCCTCAGTCCGGCACCTGGCTTTGGGCTTGCTGGTCGACGCGCTCGCTGGACGTCCAGGCCGGCTCTAGCAGGGCAGGCACCTCCTGCCACAGAAGCGGCCACCAAGGCCAGAGAGGCCAAAGCCCCCGGAGTTGATGGGCACACCATCCTCACTCAGGATGCTGCCAACGGCAGCCGAGGTGGTGGATCCCACGGCGGTGTTCTGGGGGAAGGAGCTGAGGATGGGGCCGGGCAGGGTCACCACCACGGGAGAGGGCTGGATCACCACGCGGGAGTCCTGGCACTGCCTGACGCAGGGCTCGTTGCAGCTGTTGGCAAGCGGGGTTGGGCCACAGGGACGGCACAGATCGTAGCAGGACATGGCTGCGGGACGGACGGACACCTGGGAGAGAGGGCACGGAAAGCACAGGCAGCACGTGAGAGGCAGCCTGACAGCCGGCTCGGCAAGAGAAAAGGCACCGGCTGGGAAACGGGGACAGACCCAGTTGGGAAGAAGGGAGATGAATGAAACCTGGTCCCCACATTGTCCCTGAAAATACAGCCTAAGCTCTTATCCCCCCTCCCAGTAGAGGTGGCAGGGAACCAAGATTCGCAACACAATTAATCTGTCTCAGGAAATCTGTTCTCAGACCCAAAGGCATAGAAGAGAAGAAGGGAAAATGTGGGGCAAATGAAGTTGCAGCTCACCTTGTTCAACAAGGAGGAGAAGGCAAGAGAAGTGGATGAGGGAGCATCCTCTTGGACTGGCTTTTATACTGGTCCAGACCGCCCCAGGCCCTGAGGCTCCCTTTACGCATGTCATGTGTTTACCAACAAGCTCATCTTACAGGCAAAGAAGCACAATTAAGAAATGGGTACTATGCCTATGTTTCCCGCAACGCTGCCTTTTCATTTCCCTGTGAATGACATGCCCATTGAGACATACAAGCTCCTTTCAAGTGACAGTATTAAAGGTAAATATTTCCGGGGAAATGACACAGAAGTGGAGGAAGAAGATGAAGACAAAGAGAAGGTGATGGCCAATGTGCTCGGGCGATGACTGCCTCTCACACTACCGGGGCTTATTTTGATTTTTTGGTCCTAAAATAGGTGACCTCATTTACTTACAAATCTCTCATTGAAGCCAGACTTCCAGCAAGGATCCTAGGTGAGCACCAGCCACATCTTCAGCTTTATCTATCAACAAAATGGGATGTCCAATCAAAGGCACACGCTTCAAACCAAATACATCTGATTTCCTCCTCCCCACGGTCCATGCCTCTACTTCTGCTTTAGCTCAACATACTGACAGGACAGCACACACGTTGCCAAACACTCAGCAAGATTTCCATGCAACATAGAACATACTGTAGAAGCAAGCAACGGCTGGCGGTGGCAGCAAGCACAGTCAGGAGAGCAGCAGATGTCAGGCTCTCCCCAGGGATGCATGCCAAGGGAAGGACTCAGTGCTCTGCACTGGATCTCCCGGGGCAGAAGCAGAGCTGCATGTCCCCAGGAGGCATGACAGCCCTGCTTGGGGCACCAGCCACATTCCTCTGACAACCCAGCCGGGTCCTCCTTGCAAAGGGTGGACAAAGCATCTTCCCAATTAAGTTGGGACTCCACCAGGGATAGGCAACTCTCTAATCACAGAGGCCCGGGCCAAATTCCTCACTTCAGAGGGTGACGAGAGCCTAGAGGCCACACTGTGTTCACCCGATGATGACGGTAAAAGTCCATCCAAACAGAAATGCTGTCAGGGCTCAGTGAGAGCCAGCTGCTCCTGGCAGGACAAGAGCCAGGAGAGGAGCACGATTACAAGGCCAGGAGGGCAGCAGCCTCACCAGCACAGGCCCCACTGCACACTACCTGAGCAAGGAAAAGGCAGACACTGCTGCGGCCCTGACTCCATCTCAACCGGCAAGTTCCTGGCGCTGAAGCAGGACAGACATCACGCACGGCAGTCACCCCACAGGTCAGGAGCAGAGCCCAGGGTGGGAGCCCTGCTCAACAGTGCCCAGCGGTTGCTGACCAGGGCCATAACAACCAGACAGAACCAAGAAGTGGCTGGGAATCACTGGGAAACTTGGGTCCCAGATGCAAGGGGGCTCCTGCTCAGGCATAAGCAAACCTGCAAAAGCACAGGAGGCTTCCACTCCTGCCCCCAGACTGAAGGAAGGCTGAAAGGCTCAGGACGGAGCTTAAACAGAGCCCTGGGTCAAAAGGAAGACGGAGGTGGGAGGGAATCCCAGGTGAGGCTCATCAGGGCCATTGGGCCTGTAGTTCCGGCACTCAGGCCCCTGATAGGTTGTCTCCTGGGCACCTGGCACACAGGACACCAGCTCCATCTATCACCACGAGGCAGGGAAAGGACTTCTTCCTTCAAGAAAGGAAGATCACATTCCTTTTATTAGGACTAAGCTGTCTTTTCTTCCAAGGTTCCTTTCAATCACCTCCCTGCCCAGAATATCTGCAGGACGGTCCCGTGCAAGACCTCAATGCTCCCACAGAAAAATGCATATGGCAGTGCCCTGTCGCACCCAGCATCTCTCCATCCCGTGCCGCAGATGCTGCCTTCCCTCCCTGGTGCGCCCTTTTCACTCCACTGTGCTTGTTCTGTCAGCTCAGCATGGCTCGTGAGGGTTGGTGGAGACAACATTTGTGAGGGCCCTCCAGCAGAGCAGGGCACAGGGGGGTTGCTGACAGCAGCTGCCTTGAAGGGAGACAGGCCTATAGCCATGGGGAGAGGCACCTTAGGGCTTCCCACAGCATGTGGGGCAGCAGAAATGGTGCCCCTCACTCGATGTGAAGCAGGACCTTGGGGATATGGGGGAAAACATCCCCTGTGGAGGACTAGAGCATGTGGGAAGAAGGGACAG